CTCGGGATATGCCTCTGATAAAACCCTGAGCGATCGGTTCGTACCTGTTTATAAATAAGCATTGCCAATTTTTGTTTCATGTCGCTGGTTACCGTATTTTATGTTCCTTAAAGAGAGGCGCGGTATAATGCCTGAATGACACTCCTGATATTAGTCGTATAGCTTTTTTTTTGCAAGGTGTGAATTTTGTCAGTGTTTGCTTTAGTCGTATTCCTCCATACAAGAAGGCAATAATGGAGATGTGAGTGAACAATGGAATAATACAGTTGTTTTTTCAACCACAGAGGGAGGAGTTGTCGCAATTTGCAGATTATACCCGTGGATCTGGAAATCTTGGTACGAACGTGGTTGGTGTGTAAGGACCAGTCTAAGTGTTCTTGAAAAAGTATCCCAAGAAATTTAGGCGCTGTGACACGTTCAATTTTCTGCCTTCAAATATTATTGTAGGCTCGCTTGTGATAGCCTTATTGCGTGGGCGGAATAAAACATATTTTGTTTTTTTTTTTGGTGTTGAATTCTAATCTATTACACTTAAGCCAGTCAGATAGATGTGTCAGCCACAGGTTTACTTGTTGTTCAAGGTGATTCAGGGAATTACCGGCGAAGAATATATTGGTGTCGTCCGCGTAGAGAACATCGGGTGTTAGCGGTATGTTAGGTAGATCATTGATATGAATCAAGAATAGCAAATGCCCTAAGATTGATCCTTGTGGAACGCCGCAAATGATATTACCTACGTTTGATTTAGTGTCACCGAGACTGGTATACTGTTGCCGATTGATTAGATAACTTTTTATAGGTTCTAGAGCCTTTCCTCTAATTCCATATGAAGGGAGTTTCCTCAATAAAATATGATGCTTAACCGAATCGAACGCTTTTTTGAAGTCGAGAAAAATCCCTATGGTAAGTAATTTATGTTCAAAATTGTCAAGTATTTTTTCTTTAATATCCAGTAGTGCTGTTTCAGTAGATTTTTTCTTTTGGAAGCCATACTGTTGTTGTATTATCACATTTTCTTGCAATAAGTAATTTGAAAGTCGTAGGTTGATAACTTGCTCAAATATTTTAGAGAATATAGGTAATAATGAGATAGGCCTATAGTTATTAAGGTCATTTTTATTACTGCCTTCAAAGATGACAGATACTTTCACAAACTTTAGCTCATCAGGAAAAATACCTGAACTAAGAATTGTGTTAGCGATATGTGAAAGCGGCTTACTTACGGTATGGGACTTGCTTTAATAGGCTGGGGTTTTAAGTCATCCACGCCACATGCACAATTATTTTTTAATTTTTGCAACAGTTTGTATATTTCGAATTCGGATGTGGGAAACAAGAAAACAGAGGATGAAATGTTGCTAGTTACATAAGTATGATTGCTTATCTCCCCAGCAGTAGTCCCACAATCGCCAACTCTAAGGAAGTGTTCATTGAACCTATCTGCAAGTGGCGGACCTGAGCATGGTTCACCGTCTATCCCGAGCTCCGATATAACGAATTTATCAACTTTGCACATAAGGTCATTGACCTTTTTCCAAACTTTTCTGGAGTCATTCAATATACCAGCAAACATATTTTCGTAGTACGCGAAACGCGCTTGTTTAATATCAGTGCCAAGTTTATTTCTAATTTTTTTGTATGTAGCTAATGTGTCCAAGTTTTTTGTTCTGATAAATACACTAAACAGACTATCACGCACTTTTATTCTTTTTAAAAGGTGTGAATCTATCCATGTTTTTCTAGACCTACGGGTTTTTCTGATCGTTGTCTTAGAAAATGCAATGTCATAGAGACCTTTAATAGTGTTTAGAAAGAGGCGGTATGAAGCAACGGGATCTTTGAGCTCTGTCACAGAGTTCCAACCTGTACCTTCAACTAAGTGTTGAAAGATCGCAATCTTATCCGCAGATAATATTCTGCATATAATGGTTGTATTCTGAATAGTTTGGTTATGTCTGGACAAGTATGACTTGAAGAAAATAAAGAAGGACAAGTGGTCGCTTAAGTCTGCTATCAGTACACCTGCGTCGCATTCACATGGCTGATAGTTTGTAAAACATAAGTCGAGTAGCGTTTCAGATATGTCTGTAATTCTTGTTGGCATGTTAATTACATTTTGATACCCAAAAGAGCAGAAAATTTCAACGAGGTTTTGCCTATTAGACGTTGTTGCCAAAAAGTCGATATTAAAGTCACCACAGAAATTCGCATGAAATCCAGATTGACAACAGTATTCTAGAACACTTTCAAGATAATGAAGAAACACAGTAACAGAACCAGAAGGGGGTCTGTACATGAGGACAACAATTGTGCTCATGCATTTGATCATTAAACACCCATAGTCAAGTTCAATATGGGAGTATTCCAAAGTATTTTCATAGTGGAGAGAGTTTTCAATATAAATCGCCAGACCACCTCTTCTTCTGTTCTCTCGCGATATTTTAGTACATTTGTATCCAGCGAAATGTACATCAGGGTTATCACCAGAAAACCAGGTTTCTGTGAATGTCAAGATGTCGAAATTATGTTCGAGTGTATCGAAAAAAAAAAAGCTTACAGATTCTTGTTTGCGCCTTAGACTACGGGCATTTAGATTTACCAAGGATAGGTGTTTGACGTTTCGTGTAGCTTTTAATTGCCGAAAAGAAAAGGCATCATAATAATTCTGCGACTGTGTGAAAAAAGCCATGAATTAAGTCGGCCAGAAAAGGAACTTTCTAGTTTTTTTTTTTTAGTTACCGCAGCCCTTCTAGATCTTCAGCAGTTCTTATGTTAACAATTTGATGACGTGGGCTTCGTCGCATGAACATCTTCCCATTCTTAACCCCAAAAAAACTGATAATGCAGCTCACGGGCTTTACACCTCATCAGCCAGAACAGCTTTTTGTTCTGTGCAGTTAAGTTTTCATTGAAAAACATCTTGGACTTTGACTTCCTTAGTTCTTGTCACTGTTTCAGCCAGATATCTCGCGTCAGTCGAGATGTGAAGCGTACCAATATAAAGGCGGGCTTATCAACCTCGTCTTGCCCTGCTCTTTTCGGAAGCCTATGGGCGGCTTCTACATCCGATTCTGACAGCCTAGGCAGCTTCAAGTCATTTGCCAGTATGTTCAATTTTTCGAGAACATTTTCATTCATTTGTTGCGGAAGCCCGTGAATTTCAAGGTTTTGTCTTCTGCCGTATTGGTCTAGATCGTTCATTTCTTGCTTGAGTTTGTCAATTTTCTGCTCTTCCGCGCGTTCTTCAAGCTTTTTCACTTGTGTCTTTAGGCAGTCTATATCTGCACCTTGTTTTTTCATTTGTGCTATTACTTCATCGTACTTATCGGACATTGCTTGTACGGACTTTTCAATGGTATCAACGGTGGCAATAATGCCTTCTAGTGCGTCCACTTTCTCTTTGATTGTCAGTAGTATGTTCAGTTTACCGTGTATTTCAGCAATTTCATTAGCAAGGTCTATTTCACGGTCCATTTTTCTTTTGCATTACTCGGGCCGCCTCGAACATTCGAGGTCCTGCAAGTCGGACATTTCCAAGAAGTTCTGGTCTCAGAAGTTTTCTTTTTGTATGCGCTTTCGGTAACGCCTGAGCATGAACTGAGATGATACTCATAATTGCACTCTGAACATGATAAATACACCGAATCAGTTGAGATACACTTGTGACAGGCAACGCAGTTTTTTGCCATTTCATTCAGCAGCAACGACAACCAGGTCTCAAGCTAACGTTTAAAACAGTGTAAAGGAATAAGGTCGAGCACCAACCTGCAAGTTGGAAGACGGTCACGTTAGGGATACTGCGAACAGGCCTTTCGGTGCCACTGCTGCTGAGCGTGTGTGCTATTGCGCTCAATGTTCACTGCTTTTGAAGATGGTCCTTGATGACGTAGGTCAGCACGTTGTACTTTGGTCGTCGCGTGTTCATTCGTATCCTGCTCCAGTGAAGCCGCTGCGCGTCAATTCCTGCAAGTTGGAAGATGGTCACGTTAGGGGTACCGCGAACAGGCTTTTCGGTTCCACTGCTGCTGAGCGTGTGTCACATCACATTTATATGTGATGTTTAACGTCCCAAAACCATCATATGGTTATGAGAGACGCCGTAGTGGAGGGCTCCGGACGTTTTGACCCCCTGGGGTTCTTTACGTGCACCAAAATCTGAGCACACGTGCCTACGATATTTTCGCCTCCATTAAAAATGCAGCCGCCGCAGCCGGGTGCCCCGCCGTGGTGGTCTAGGGGCTAAAGTACTCGGCTGCTGACCCGCAGGCCGTGGGATCAAATTCCGGCTGCAGCGGCTGCATTTCCGATGGAGGCGGTAATGTTGTAGGCCCGTGTGCTCAGGTTGGGGTGCACGTTAAACAACCCCAGCTTATCAAAATCTCCGAAGCCCTCCACTACGGCATCTCTCATAACCATATGGTAGTTTTGGGACGTTAAACCCCACATATACATCAAATCAAGCAACAGCCGGGATTGGATCTCGTGACCTGCGCGTCAGCAGCCCAGTACCTTAGCCACTAGACCACGGTGGCGGGGTGAGGATGTGTCTACCTTGTGTGTTCTAAGACTGAAGAACAGAGACGGTGTTGCTTGCTAGGAAGCGCCATTGGCCTTAGACTGTTTTTCATAGTCAAGGTATTTACACAACGGAATAACGTAGGCCTTCATCTTGCTTGCTTGCCACTCTGCTGCGCTTCGCTTCGCTGTGCGTCTTTGTCCTTGTGGTGTTTTAAACGTCTTAATGTTCCCTCATTATGACATATTACTCAGCCCAGGAAAAAGTGCTTCAAATAAGTTACTCTTAATTCTAGAGTCGATGCCATATTCCCTCACTGCATGATCTCTAGCCTGCTTTTTGCCCATGAGTGCAGAATGCTGTGTCTTTACCTTTCTCATTGCCGATTTTACGTTTTTGTAGTTCATAGCCAGGGATTTGCAAGCTGGTGTGAAATATCTGTTTCCTTGTGCTTACCTGGAATCGTTCTTTCTGTGTTTCTTAGATGAAGACGGCCGACCAGTTATGGGAGCTGGAGCGTCGTCCGTCTACATCAACGCCGTCTACACGAATGTAAGCAGGAGCTTCTACATCCAGTTCTCGAGTAGCCTCAGCACAACGCATTCGCTGGCTTACCTGTCCACTCTTAGTACAAGTTTCAGAGAACAGAGCTCTTATGCCAATACAGTTAACTCGGTAGCCATTGTATCATCTAGGCTAGAAATTGGCAGTGCCTGTCACAGTGTCGAAGAACGGTTATGCTACATGTAAGTCACCGCACATTTATTGCATTGTAAACGCAACGTTCAATTCTGATTTCCTTCTTCATCTGGACTGCCAGCGTCATCGTTCGGTTACCAAAATTTCTTATCCTTCATTCAGCTCACACACCTTCTAGCTTAAGGTTACTGTGCCCAAGTGATAAATGATACCTTTATGGGCCTACTGCAGCGCCGAAGGTCGTCAGCTCGCCCGACGGAGATGCCAACTCGGCGCGCCTTTTCGACAGAGCGCGCACGGCCAATGATCTGCTACGCCAAAAGAACCACCTTGCTATTTGAGAAGCTGCGTACGCAAAAGTCATATCACGCACTTCCACGGCAGCCTTCAAAGCACTCTGCCTATCAAACAACACATACAATGGCGAACAGCTGACCTGCGCCGTGCTTTTTGTTTTGTTTTGTTTCCCTGGGAGGTTGGCTCATACCCACTCAGGGGGATTGGCCAAGAAAGTGTAGTGCAGTTTTTCTGTGATCATTTTAACTATGTGTAAAGAATTGGAATTATAATAAGGCTAATGTAAATATAAAAACAACATAAAAAGAGCAAACGAAAAAAAAAAACCAAGTTGAGCAATTTTGAGATTTGAGGTGTTATGATTACCACTCAGCTGCGTTTACTTCACTCTGCCCTGGGGAGTAATCAATAAATTTTTTGATTGAAGATCACAAAGGTATACGCTTGGTTGCCTGAATATAATCGCAAACGGCATTGAAAGCATCCCTGTGGCAATGTCCCAAAGCTGAGGCGCCAAAGCTTAGCGCCGTTTCCGCCGTCAATCTAAGGCCTATTTTCCGAAATGGCATAACTAGTAACCTTTTTCTAAGTATCTCGTAGCGGCGACAATACAAAAAATAGTGATCTAGTGATTCCATTTCTCCGCAGAATGCGCAGAGGGGTGATGTTGTCTGACCAGCTCTGTGTAGCTTTATGATGACTTCTTCTTCTTCTTCTTCTTCTTCTTCTTCTTCTTCTTCTTCTTCTTCTTCTTCTTCTTCTTCTTCTTCTTCTTCTTCTTCTTCTTCTTCTTCTTCTTCTTCTTCTTCTTCTTCTTCTTCTTCTTCTTCTCATCCTCCTCCTCATGGCTCTTACCCAATGCAGAGGATTGGCCGAGTGTTAGGTGAATTTTTTTTTGTTTTTTCGCAATACTAATCGTATGTGCTAGGTATATGTTTAAAAACAAATAAATGCTGAATAATAATATTTGTGCGTTTAAAACAATCAGAAATTTAGCTATATATTCTTTTACTTTGACTGGTAAACTCCTATATTGCGTAGTAAACATCTATGTGACTGTAGCCAAGAGTAGAGGCGCCGAATGATAGAACAACTGATTCGGATATTTCAAAACCCAAGTTTCGAAGCGGTGGTGCTACGAATTTTCTTCTCAATGACGTATAGTGGTGACAGGATAGAAAGTAATGACTGATTGTTTCCTCCTCCTTACAGAAGATACACAGAGGAGACAACGCTTAACATGCTCTATGCAGGTAAAGTTGAGGGAGGTAACCCGGCAGCGAAGTTTGGTTATGGCCATTTAGATTATTCTCGACCGCGATAACTCAGTTTTCCAGAGAGATAATAGGTGCCTATATTTTGTAGAAGCTGTCAAGATGAAGTCTGATAAGCATTTTTTGAAAGTTAAGGCGCGCAATCGTGCAATTGTAATGTATGTTTTCTGTGGGAAAACCAGAATGATTGGCATCAAAAGCACCGCCTTTGGTAAAAAATCAGCGCTGTCGTTTAAAAGCCAACCCTTGTGTCCTTGTACCCAAATTAAGTGGAGACATTGTAGGTGCGCGGGAACTGGTATTCTGAAAAGCTTTAGAAGAGGCGTTTCACCAGATGCAGAGAGAGAAGAACACACATATAATGAGTCAGTGATAATTGCTATTACTCCATTTAAACTGGGTAACTTTTGGAGACCTATTATTATGGCCATAAATTCAGCTATAAAAACTGGTATAAAATCCGGCAGTCGTAACGAAAAAGACCAATCAAGTTTAGGGCAGAATCTTCCTATGCCAGCTTTTCCACAGTTTGCGATGCAATCGTTAACTCGCTATGGCCGTTTCTTTTTTCTTTCTTTCTTCCTTTCTTCTTTTTTTTTCTTCTTTTTCCCTTCCTTTCTTTCTATTATAATTACCGAAAAAGACGCTGGGGCTTGGCACGCAGGCAGCTAGAGTGAAGCATAAGAAGAAAAAGAAGGGCAGAATAATAGCCGCCAGCCTGGATCTTCTTGCCGGTAAGCTATAAAATTTTTAAAATATTATAGCTTACCGGCAAGAAGATCTCAATATGCTTTTATCGCACACCCAGACGCCTTCTTTCTTGCTCATTGGCCATGGTTTCAGACACCTCAGATAATGTTTGTACAAAAGAATCTACAAAGTTTAATTGCGAACATTAGAAATTTAATTGAGACTAATGACTCGAATTGTCATGTTATAATTGAGTATGATGATGTATTCCCCCAAAACGCCAAGTTACAATCTCTCAAATTTTTAAATAACATATTATTAGATTACTTGGAGCATGCATAATCTAAAATATAATAGCCACAGATGCTTCCGTAAATAATCAAAAGGCAGGTGTAGGCATTGCCTCTGATTCGCTTGACTGGTCCTTTTCAGTGAGGCTGCATAATTTTACTCCAGTTTTTCAAGCGGAGCTCGTCGCGATTATTTTAGCTCTTCGAAAACTTCCATCAAACTAAAACAACGCAGTCATAATGACGGATTCTCTTTCAGTTTGTGCAGCTCTGGCAGCTTCAGAGAACTCTCGAATTCTAAGCACATTCAAAACATTAGTACCCCCGCAGTTGAGACTCCTGAGGTTACTATGGGTTCCGGGATACTGTGCATTAAGATTAAATGAATTGGCCGATTCCTTAGCACGAGCCGCACTTGATGGGCCAGTTTTGTCCATACTACCAGATGTTGAATATCTCACGGCAATAAGATATCGAAAATCAGCAATCTCCTCTGATACGATAGAAAAAGTAACTACATGGACAGAATATAACCACCTCATGTTTCCATGGCAACCTTACTGGAGCCAGTCCAGAAAGCTCGAAATCTTACTTACTAAATTTCGATATCGCGTCCCCACCCCCCTAAACCTGTATCTACACAGAGCTGGTCAGACAACATCACCCCTCTGCGCATTCTGCGGAGAAATGGAATTACTAGATCATTATTTTTTGTATTGTCGCCGCTACGCTTTACTTCGAAAAAGGTTACTTGTTACGCCATTTCGGGAAAATAGGCGTTACATTGACGGCGGAAACGGCGCTAAACTTTGGTGCCTCAGTTTTGGAACATTGCCGCAGGGGTGCTTTCAATGCCATTTGCGATTATATTCAGGCAACCAAGCATATACCTTTGTGATCTTCAATAAAAAAAATATTATTTATTACTCCCCAGGGCAGAGTGAAGTAAACGCAGCTGAGTGGTAATCATAACACCTCGAATCTCAAAATTGCTCAACTTGACTTGTCTTTTTTTTTCTCGTTTGCTCTCTTTATGTTATTTTTACAATAGTCTTATTATAATACCAATTCTTTACACATAGTTAAAATGATCACAGAAAAACTGCACTACACTTTCTTGGCCAATCCCTCTGAGTGGGTATGAGCCATCATTCCAGGGAAACAAACAAACAAACAGCCTGGCATGCCGGCGTTGTCTCTTGTATCTCTCTTACACTATCAATCATAAATCAGAACCAGAAACCTTTATTATTTGCGTAAAATCTGGTTATTGCGATTGAGCATCCTGGTAGAGGTCCCAGAGTCAGGGACTGGATTGCAGCCTTCTATTGCAGGTTGAAGATGGATGAAAATGTGACAGTTGCATCAACAGGAAGGAAGAAAATTTTCAAAGTGCATTTTGAGAACAGTGAATAAAAATAATTCTAATACTTCATATACTAAGAAGAAAACTTGTGGTACACACGAAAGAGAAAAAGAAAGTTTTGCAATAAACACAAAAACAAAAATGACACCAAATTATTTTTAGGGGCTGTCTAAAGAAAAAGCTAATAAGTGTGGTACTGATTGAGAAGGAACTTTTTATTTTTGACAAATGAGCTTATAGTCTTCGAGTTGAAGACAGGTGGCAATGTGTTACATAGGGAGAATGCACTGAAATGAGCGGTTTGTTTGCCGTAGCTGGTTCGGATTCTCGGCAAAATGGAGTTTATGTGTGAAGCAAATCTTGTGTTGTTAGTGTTCAAAAATAAAGAAGAAAGAATGACGGAGATGGGACATCTAATATTAATAACCAGATGAATTATGAATAACCAGATGGCCACATTGTCAACGGGACAATCGTCTCTTCTCCTGTCCCCTCCTGCCCTGTCGTTTTGCGCTGGTGAGCACTCTTTATCAGGCTAGATTGCATTTTACTGTGTCGCGCACTGTAAGAATATTATACGCGTAGAACAACTCTTTGGAACTGCTGTTAGTTGAGGTAGAAGTTACTATCCTGATTGCTTTGTTCTGAATTGTCTGTATCGGCGCTTATGATGCAATATCTGATATGTGACTTAATAAATGCGTCATATAGTGAAAAGAAAATGGAGTGTGAAAAAAAGGGGGCGAGTTTGAATAAGCATGCATATACCATAAGACATCTCCTTTTTAACCTCTAAAACGTGGCTATGAAATTTTAGGTTTTCATCGAGTCTGACACACAAGGTACACACAGTCATTGCTAGCATTGACCAAATGATATGGAATAGAAATTGTAGGAGCGGGTACTAGCGAGCGTTCATGTAATGAAAAGACAATT